TTGTCTTAATTTGTTCAAAGCCAGGTTCTCAATACTCAAATCTAAATTAGTATGGAAAAAATGATGTCTTCTCCTAGATCCAAGCATCGGCCAAAACAAATGCCAGAGAGAAAAAAAAGATAAAGATTCAGTGCAATTGATCTTCACAATATATAAGAAACAAGAATGAAAAATAAACAAAAAGAAATAAAATAAAGACGCCTCAAAGTGATATAAGGATGTCATTTTTGGAGAAAAAAGACTGTGGAGGTAAAAGTTTGAGAAAAAGAAGTTGGAAAGAATTGAATGAAAAAAATACTCCATACAGAGTAAAGAATATAATGGGAACCCAAAATGATATAAAAAAAAGTAATATGTATACAAAAATTTAAGTTACCTAAAAATAATAAATGAAAAAAGTTAAGTATATATAAAAATAAACTATATATATATATATATATATAAATATATGTGTGTGTGTGTATGTGTGTGTGTGTATGTATATATACACACACACATTAAAAAATAGAGTATGTAGTATATCCTTAAAGGAAATTTCATTTGCAAGAGCTAATTATGACCTGCTAAGTTTTTCAAACATTTTTTCGTAACAGTCAATACAACCAGCCAGTCAAAACAGCTAACTCAACCAGCCATTCAAACCTACCAACACAAACAGCCAACAATCAACTATGACCAACTACTATTTTCCAAACAAGGCCATTGCCGATTTTAAAGTCCACTTTGTATGCTAGTGTCCAGATCATACTTTTTCTCTAATAATCTATCCATCACATCTTACTTTTACCCATCACATCAGGGGCAAAATTGGAAATCAACTATAATTTAACACTTCCTTATTTTTGCCCCCAAATCAAATGGGAAGGGTTTTTCCAAACGGAGGGAGTAATTTTTAAATGTTGTGATTCTTTTTCCTTTTTAAAAATTAATGTCTTCCATTTTTATTTTAACATTTCTTTTAATCTCTATAAAATTAAAAGAAGTCTTTTAAATTACTTTTTTTATTTTTTTTATGAACACAATTGTGATTGTGATTTAATTTTATACTCCCTCCGTCCCAGAGTATTTGTCTATTTTTGACCTTTTTCGGTCAAAATTGATAAACTTTGACTTCAAATTAAATAAAAATGATATTAGATATTAATATAAAAATAGTTTTATTAGATTTATTATATCAAATATTTTCAAAATATTATTCTATCTAATTAATATACAATACATATATTATTTAATTTTGGATCAAAGGTTGAAAAACAGTTTACCATAAAAGTCAAAATTTGACAAAGAGTTTTTATCCAAATTTCAAAACAAGTATCATTTCTTTCAATTTTCAAAGTGCATATCTTATCATTTTTCAAAAACTAAACAAAAGGGAAAAGTTAGAGCAAAATAAATTACCCATTATTCTCTAAATCCTACCTTTTGCGATGTTACAGGGACGACTTTGAATGTATTGAATTGCATGCTACCTTTTGCAAAATTACAGGGACCGTAATTGGCACGTGAGACGACTTTGAATGTATTGATCATTGGATTGCATGCTACCTTTTGCGAAATTATAGGGACCGTAATTCGCACGTTAGACGACTTTGAATGTATCGAATTGCATGCGTCGTCATTGCATTCGATCGCCGCTATCCCTTTAATTTGCTTCCTGCTGCGTGCGTCTATATATATATATATATATATATATATATATATATATGTATGTATATATATATGTATGTATCATTTTATCATATGAGGTTCTGAATACATTACAATTACCACATCAATTAATCACCAAAATTCATTGCCTACACAAAATAATGACTTCAAAACAACAAACCCCTCCGATGGTGATGAAAATGGAAGAAGCCGCAGAGCCTCCTAAAGGTATACACCAAGCGTATCTCTCCACTTTTTAATACGGAGTACTTACTATTGGTAATTATGCCTAGAAGGGGAGAAATATTGGGAACTACGAGTACATGTTTCCTTCCTTAAATGGAATTAGACATGTATTTTGGAAAATCTAAATAATGAAAACCTACAAGACATTTTTGTGACAAAACTTGTTTTGGAATAGAATTACTTATAGTTTTTTAATTAATTACGGAGCAAAAGAAATACAATCAATAGATGATGAGCTAAGGAACACTTATAGAAAACGAGTTATTCTTTTGTGGTCTAATATCCGCGTGTAAAATATGAATCCTCATTCCTCACATACTTTTAATGGACCCACAAATTTTATGCAACTAGAAGAACATTAATCATCTACTCCATCCGTCTCACAAAACCTTTATCTATTCTTTTTTTATCCGTCCCAAAAAACATTTTTCATTTCTATTAAAAAATTATTTTTACTCCTACAAATTCTTAACACACCTATCACAACATAATTTTTCACTATTAATCTATCCATCACATCCTACTTTTACCGATCACATCTAAGGATATATTGGGAAACTCCATACCAAAATACGCTTTCCTTAAATCCTTTAAAAATCAAAAGCAGAAAAGTTTTGTGGGACGGATGGAGTATTAAATATAAATTGCATTATACTCCATATGTTAGAACAAAGAGATTTAATTATATTTATCTTTTTTTAAAAAAAAAATTATATTTATCTTTTAGAATATTATTAAAAATATTTTTTATTTTATTAATATATATATAATATAATATTTATTTAACTGATGATCAAAGTTAAATCTTTTTTACTAAAAAAAATCTAACTCGACATACACTTACGGTTCCATCTACGATCTACGAATTCTTTGACTTTTATAATACTTATATCTTACATCGTCTTATCGTGTTTGTGTAATTTGACTTTTTTGAATTAAATTGAACGGATTTTGAAAATCAATTAAATAAAATACTTAATTCCAAATACAAATTAATTAAGAGTAACTAATGATCAAAGTTCATCCAGTTTGAGTCGAAAAAGTTAAAGTTGATGAATACAGTACACTAGGACCAAAGGATAATATCAGTCTTTAAATAATGTTAATACCAACATAGTCAAATAGCTCTAGTGCCCCTCTTAGTTTTGAAAAAATAAGCATCAATACCTTCTTGTTTTCAAAACATAAAAATTGTTTAAAAAATTTTAGGGCAACATTTTTGATGTTCAATAAATAAAAATACTCCGTATGATTTTACAATAGAAAAAAGTTTAGGGAATCACTTTTTTCTTAGAATTAAATTAGAAAGAATGTATCTTTTTTAAAGTTTAGATTTCCTGTTTTAAGTAAACGTTCGAGACTTAGAGTTTGGCTATCTTGATCGGGACTATGCCATCCCCTCTTTATTGTAATTTCTTTTTCTTTTTTTAAATAAAATTATATTTTCCAAAAATAATAAAAAAGAAACTTGTTTGCAATATTAATTGAAATTTTTAAAATGTTTAATGCATGTTCAATTTGATTTAAATTAATCCTATATTTTCATTCAACATTAATCGCATGAATTTGTCAAATTAAAGGTGAAAAAAGTTCATTTTTTTAAATTTATTTAACATTAAAAATGCTGCCTTAAAATATTTAACAATAAAAACTACTTGTATAGCACGTAGATAACATGCAGGATTAGAGAAAAACTAAAAAGAATGTCAACACAGCATTTGTTCGCCGGATTATCACATTTCCGACCAAAATACACCATTTTATTATAGTTTTGAAAGATTGAGCATATTTTTGTAACAAATGAAATGCGGAGTACCTATTTCTTACGTCTAAAGTTATGGGTGAAAAAGCCAAAAAAATACGGAGTAACTATTTTTGGATGTTCTAAAAAAAGCGCACTACATACTACAATTTCTTCTCTATAAGAATATTTTTGTATCTTTTTCTTTTTTCATTTCCTTTTTTATTTATTTTATTTTATTTTATTTTATATTTCACTCCTATTCTTCAGTTTCTTTTTTAAACATCTCAAGAAAGTTTTTCTTATAATTATAGAAAACAAAAAAAAGAAAATGTTTTGGTTAATTTAGACGAAGTATGTGTTAGATTTTTCATTTAATTCATTTTTATTTCAAACACAAACAGTTTTCATTTTACAAATATTATTAATAACCATTCTAAAATAACTAAAAAAAGAACAAAAGACAAGATATTGGGCTCCAATGCCCCTTGTCGTTTGAAAATTAGACATCAATGCTCTCTTTTATCAGAAAATAAATAAAAAATAGTTGGAGGAGGCGTATGTGCAACATTTTGAAACCTTGGAAATTCTAGAAATAAGTTTTGAAAATAGATCTAATGATGCCAATATAAGCTTTTAATTTATACTACCTCCGTTTCTCAAAAGAGTTCCTCTTTTAATTTTAGGGGAAAATAAAGAAGTGTTAAATTGTAGTTGACTTTCCAATTTTGCCCTTGATGTGATGGGTAAAAGTAAGATGTGATAGTTTAGTTGTTAGTGAAAAAGTATGATGTGATAGGTAGGGTATGAAAAAGTATGGATAAAAGTGGTTTTTTAATATAAAGAGGAAGTGTTTTAAGAAAAACAAAAAAAATGAAAGAGGAAGAGTTTTAAGAAAGGGAGGGAGTATGTGCGAGAAGATATATGGGATGAAGCTCTTGATCTACAAATAAGTGTTTAATTAATATATTTCTTTTTGTTTGTTTGCGTGGGTATATATGAAATATTAATTTTATAGGTTATCCCACAACAACGAATCCATTGGGAGTGGATGCGTTCAGTGGAAGCAGCAAGCCTAGAGGAAGTACTAGGTAAAATTTATTATTTCCTCTTCCCCAATTAAAATTATTAATTTGACAAATTGTAACGATAAACTCTTCATTCACTTTTCAGTTATATCTTTAGACTCTATAAATATAAAAATGAGTACAGTATTTTAAAAATTAATTTTTTTAATACTAATGACTATATTACAAGATAATATATGTTCACATGATCTCTCATTTGGGAGAGTCATAGCAGTGCCATTAGCTCCTTCTGTTGGGTTTGTGGAGGCTTGGGCTTGACTTGTTGGCCCGGCCCATTTTATGTAACCCTAGGTTTTTTCCTTCTCCTATATATTCAGCCCTAGTATTTGTAATTCCGGTGAGACACGACAAGTGAAATAGACATCCTCCTGTTGCAGCCGTGGAGTAGGGAAACCGAACCACGTTAAATTTTTGTGTGTCGTCCGTGTTCCGTTTCTCTCGTTTCTCGTAGATTATTTGTGTGTGTTGTGTGTTTAATTCCCAACAAGTGGTATCGGAGCAAGATTATTCAACACGAGCACAAATTACGAGAAGATTTGTCACCTAGGGTTCTTGTGTGAAGAACCGTGTGGGATCCAGATCGTCCGTGTGTGTGGCTGTTCAATTGAAGGAGCGACAGGGACCGGGTGCAGAGATCTAGCCGTGCAATCGAAGCCGCCGCGCCACATTGAGGAACCGCCGCCGCCATCAATAGCAGATCCAGGGCCGTCGCCGTCCTCAGTTGTCGCCGCTGTGAGGTTCGCGCAAGAGTGAGTCGCGCAGCAGGGGAGAGAGCTGCAGCCTTGGGGTTGCCTCGGTGCCGCCGTCGCGCAGCCTTGGTCTCCCGCCGACCGCCGCAGTCGCTGGGTAGGACGTCGCGAGCAGCAGGCCGCGCCGCCCAGGACCCACCTTTCGATCGCCGTCGCCGTCTAGATCGCCTCCGCCGCCGTCCGTGTTCAGTCATCCACGCGGGGCCGAGGTTCAGGTTACGTCGCCGCCGAGCCGTTGCTGTCCAGCTGGTGTTGTGGCCGCCCCGCGTGACCGTGAACAGTCGCCGAAAGGAGAAAAGAAGGGACGGGCAGTACTGTGATTCTTGGTCTTTTTTTTAGTTGATTGGTATTTGGGCAGATTTGTGTGCATTTGTTGCTGTTTTTTTTGACAAAATTACCAAGATCTGAAATTTTTGTACCGGGTATCTCGTCTAGTCATTTGAGATGGCAGAAGACGGAAAATTCCGAATTGAGAAGTTCGATGGTACAGATTTCAGTTGGTGGAGAATGCAAATTGAAGATTTGCTGGTTCAGAATGTTGGGTTTGTGGAGGCTTGGGCTTGACTTGTTGGCCCGGCCCATTTTATGTAACCCTAGGTTTTTTCCTTCTCCTATATATTGAGCCCTTGTATTTGTAATTTCGGTGAGACACGACAAGTGAAATAGACATCCTCCTGTTGCAGCCGTGGAGTAGGGAAACCAAACTACGTTAAATTCTTGTGTGTCGTCCGTGTTCCGTTTCTCTCGTTTCTCGTAGATTATTTGTGTCTGTTGTGTGTTTAATTCCCAACACGTTCTTCTGTGTAGACTGAATAGACCACCCGAGGGCCGAGATAGTGAAAGTGGTGGAGAGATTGGGTCACATGAGCGTAGATTTACTTTTCAAACACCATATTTGAATAATAGAAGAATAGATTTACTTTTCAATAATGGTGGATAGAAGAGAGTATATAATGAGTAAATTTAAATCATTCCTACCACAAGTAGGAAAAACACTATAATAGAAGGTGACTAATAAACAATTACTTGTACTACTTTAAGTAATACAATTATTATTACCCCATCCGTCCCACAAAAAGCTACACTCTTCACTGTTCAAAAATAATGGGAAATTTTGTTTATTTGTGTGTTTTTATTGATTATTTTATGAGATACGTAGTAATATATTCTTGTTACCTTTTATTTTGTAGAACATTTGATATAATTTATAAATATGAAGGTTTTATTTTTATTTATATATCACTCTTTAAATAAAATGAATTGAAAAATCTTGAGATTTTACTTTATTTTACATAAAGTGTAATTTATTTAGGGACAGAAGGAGTAGTATTAGTCTAACACCTCGTGGGAATAAGTATACAACTCCTTTAGTCTTGATTCACAAGTAGGATAAATACTTGTAAAATACAAGCTGGGTTTATTTTAAAAGAATACTAGTATGTAGTTAGTTAGTTACAGTCCCAACATGTCTCTGGTTCCAATTTTGCAGATCGTAGTCTATTATTTTCGTATAGTGTTTGCTGATCTCTTTACCGGGTGGTATAGCACATTTTGTGTCACCCTTGAAAATTAAAACAAGATAAATTTACTTAAATATCACCAAAACATAATTACTTTTCCTAAATAGTACCACATGTGTTTTTGTTCCTAATGTAGCACTTTCAGTCATTATGCATTAGTCATTATTCAAGTAAAATATTCACCATCACTAGACATTATAGACATTATTAAGTGCTATTTAGGGAATAAAACATTTTAAGTGCTATTTAGAGAAATCACTTAAATTTTAGTGTTATTTAGTTCAAATATTTCTTAAGAGAATTTTAGAAGCCAAATAAAATCTCTCCTTATATATATATATGTATATATATATATATATATATATATATATATATATATATATATATATATATATATATATATATATGTTGTGAATCCTCCAAGTCCCACACCGGAAGTTTATGAGTAAATGAACCAAAATATATAGGTTCACCCAACCCCATTAGTATGAGGCCTTTTGGGAGGTGCTCAAAAACAAATTCTTGAGGGCTTGGCCCAGAGCGGACAATATCATACTAATGCGGGGTTGGGGTGAGGGCACGCACAGTCCCAACATGTAGTATCAGAGCCCAGGTTCTTGCGGGCGTGAGTAGCAGACTGTGTAGTGTGGAAAAATATCGGTGTAATGGTGTAACAATAGGACCAAGACCAAGAAAGAGGATTTGCAGGTGGTGTCTTGTGTCGAAAGTCTTTCCGACGAGAGGAGGTCGAGCGGCGTGTCCCGTGAAGTTATAGCCACGGCGGTACAAGATGATTTGGCAGATTAAATGGTGTAGCCCAGCTAAGGAAAGATCTGCGGCTCAAGCCTTACGTCGAAAGTCTTTCTGACAGGAGATTGTGCGGCGTGTCCCGCAAAGAGTGTGCGGCGATGCAAGATGGTTAGCAGATAAAAAAGAAAAATGGATTACCGCTGGAGGGGAGGTCGGAAGTTGTGCGGTCCTTGGTTGAGGGGAGGTTTGTTGGGATTCCTCCAAGTCTCACACCGGAAGTATATGAGTAAATGAACCAAAATATATCGGTTCACCCAACCCCATTAGTATGAGACCTTTTGGGAGGTGCCCAAAAACAAATCCGTGAGGGCTTGGCCCAGAGCGGAAAATATCATACTAATGCGGGGTTGGGGTGAGGGCATGCACAGTCCCAACAATATATATATATATATATATATATATATATATATATATATATATATATATATATATATATATATGACGAGAGACAAATTGAGCAACATACAAACTGCCAGAGAGAGGCTAAGAGAGAGGAGTGAGGAGAATGCTGATTTTTTTAAGATTCCATATCAGAATGAGCGTTGCATTTGATACTAGTGAAGAAAGTACGTACTATGTACCTAAATGCGCCCATGGTAAGTAAAGTAAAGGAACTGCTAGGCACGTAATCCAAGGCTCAATATTTGTTCTTATTTCTTTCATTAGATCATATTCTTACCAGCACACACACACAAAGATATAAACTTTTAAATATATTTTAATCACCGATTCAACCACTTGAACTACTAGTTTGATTAGTAAACTAGTATCTTGGTCTGTTTAATTAGTTTTGAAAACTATGAGTTTTTTATATTAAAAGATAAAATTTAAATTATACTCCGTACTCCGTATAAACTATTTTATTTTGAAAAAAGAATTAATATTATCGTAATATACATTACAAAATTATAGGTTTATAATAAATATCTAATAATTATTTTTAAAAAATTAAGTTTTAAAACTTTTTAGTAAAATAAGTATATAATATATATATATACTCCGTATCTATTAGAGAGTATTTTTATGAGTAATTTACCTAAATAGGACTAAAACATAATGACTTTCCCAAAATAGGACCATATGTTTTTATTTCCCAATGTAGGACCTTTGGTCATTATTATTTAGTCATTATTCAAGTAAATGTCTATCATTGCTGGGCATTATTCCTTCCACGAAGACATTATTAAGTCCTATTTAGGGAATAAAAAAGTTTAAATCCTAAATTAGGAAAGTCATTATGTTTTAGTCCTATTTAGTGCAAATTTTACCATTTTTTTAAATGTTGAGCCCTCAAAAATATGGGTTTGGGCGATAGGGCACTTTGACCCATCTTTTGGCCGGCCCTTGTGTTTACTTATCGTTCATTAATCATGTGGTTTGGTTTGTGGGTGCAGCTCTCAAAATCGCTACGGTTGCAGTGAATGCATATTTGATACGATCTACATAATGACTTGTTGTTACTGTAGCTTCAAGTACGAAAAGCGGGTTACATAAATTTTAACAGTGAAAAATCGTGTCACTCCGTTTTTATGGTGTTTTCTCAATCTATCTTCACATATATGTGGAAGAGTTCCAAGGATTTATAGTTTATTTATGTACTTGATCTTGTCTTGTTTGTGTAAAATTATCTACGTACTCTGCATGTATTACTTACTGTATTTCTACTACACTAGTGGTCCAGTTATGGATCTCTAGCTATATATGCTCCCTCTTTTAAATATTACTCCCTCCGTTCTATAAAAATGTTCCTATTTTGACTTTGTGGAAAAATAAGGAAGTCTTAAATTGTAGTTAGCTTCCAATTTTGCCCTTGATGTGATGGGTAAAAGTAAGATATGATGGATTAAGTACTAGAGAAAAAGTATGATGTGATAGGTAGGGTATGAAAAACTAAGGGTAAAGTATGATGTGGTTTTTTAATAGAAAGTATAAGTGTTTGATTGGAAGTAAAAAAAATGATAGAGGAAGAGTTTTTGAGAACGGAGAAAGTACACACACTTTGATATTGATCACGATTTTTTTAAGAAGTATTGAAATGATGTTAAAAAAATGAAAAGTGCATGGTTAAAATTTATTTGAAACGAGAAGTGAAAAAATATTTTGGTATAGAAGAAAAAGAGGGATGATAAAGCTTTGGTGAGAGAGAGAGAGAAAGTATGTTTTTTAAAGGAAAGCAAACATATTTATCATTAAATCAACTTCAACATTTCTTTCAACCGAAAGAGTCTAAAGCCGAAAAACAACCAAAAAACAGTGTTAGAAAAAATAATATGTGGGGAACTATTATTATTAAAGGATATGACTTAATATTGACCATAATTTCTTAATGAACACGATTATCTTTTCATGATTTGATTAATAATTTCTCAATTAATTAAGCACAATAAAAATTCACAATAATAACTATTAGTAATTTCATTTTTAGAGAAATATTCCAACATAATAATTTTATCTAAAAATTACCATTACCCTACTATGAATCGCATCCCTAATAAATTTAGTTCTTCATCATAGTAGATCTAAACATGCATTCACATAAAAGAGACATAATTAAATTGATAATTAAAATGAAAAACTTACATTTACGCTTTCGCAGTATCGGTAGAACTGGGCTACAACTTGCACCGAGAAAACTCCAAAAAACCAAACTAAAATTATACAATGAAGATATGAAATCGGAAATCTTGAAAGGGGAAAAAACTACTGAAAATTGGATCTGATGGAATGATGAAAAACTGAAGAAGCCACTGCTTTTATAGGGTTGGACGCGAAGCGTCCAATCCATGACGTCCATGCTGAAGCGTCCAGATCTGGACGCCATTCCACATCACCAGCCACTTGTTGATTGCCACGTGTCAGCCTTGGAAACTAATCCACATGAAGCGTCCAACCCGCAAAACATCCAAGGGTTGGACGCTTCAGACCCGTCTACTTTTGGGTTGTGCAACTTTGTTCCATTTTGGCCCTGTTATGCTTCCTTATGTCCCTGAAAGCTGTTTTCACCTCTACTAATATTCTCTTGATAATAATTCTCATTTTGAAGCTTCTTTTTCTTATATATGAATAAGAAAT